CCCACCCCAGGTGTCTCCTTCCCCCCCTCCCCGTCCCCACCCACCTCTTCACAACCTGGCATCAAATAAAGACATTGATCAAAAAAACTGGCTCACACGACCACGAACAGACTTCACTCCGCCAAGAACGACTAGTCACTCAACTACCAAGATCGGCCCCGGGGGAAGCATTTGCCATTGAAGTTGCCAACTCCATTCCCAACACCAACATTTCCAAACGCCCCTTCCAAGGGTGGTTGGCTCCCCCCACCCCTCCCTATCCCTCCCTACCCCAAAGCTCTTGCCCCAACTGTTCTCTCGACATCAGTGAGAGAATTTTGCACAAGGAACGGTTCAAATACAACCCTGGGGTGGGGGGAACAGGACATGAAGAAGGAGGAGGTGGTGTGAGGGGAGGGGAGAGGTTACTGCCCAGGGAACAGAAGTGTTCCCCCCTTCTCCCTTCCCCTGCTTTTACTGGGACCAAACCCAAGCCAGATTTTGAACCAGAACTGGGCCAGTTTCAGAAAGGACATGGTCAGAGCTGGCCCTGAGGCCACACTCCCATGGGGTGGGGTAGGGGGGGGATGGCTTTCATGTCTGTGTCCTGGGCAAGTAGTGGGCCCGGGAAGTTTTGGGAGTGGGGCCCAGAGTAGGACTGACCAGCACCCCCCAGCCCCTCCATCACCTCCCACACAGACGGGTCCAAAACACGGCGCCTTCCCCCCAGGAAGCGCCCGCATCCCGACCCGCTCCCGCTGGACACCACAGGGCTGGGAGAACCAAGGTTTCTTAAAGCTTTGGGGAGGAGGTGAGTACAAATTCGACCTGGCAGTGCCCCTTTAGCACAAAATCATTACTAATTTGTTTTACTTTTTCAAAAACATCAGCATCCACTTCCAGAGCCTGGGAACATCATCCACCCCTCCAACTACCTCTCGCCCCTACATCATATTTGACCGCTGATGCAAAATGGAGGAGGGACAACATTTCCAGCCCTTCCTCCTGGTATCTGAAGATCAAAAGTGGATCTTTATGGACGCAGAGCACGGGAGCAGCCTGCCCCGAGGGTGGCAAGCTCAGCCTCTCCTTGGGTGACCAGGGTTGGCTGGAGCTGGACACACCAAGGTGGAGACAGCAACCGGGGATCAACTGAGCAGAAGAGGATACGTTCCCAGGAACGTTACTACATTGAATATTAAAGTCTCCTGTAACTAAAGGAGGGGGGGAAACTCAGGTGATTTTTTTTTCTTTTTTTCTTTTTTTTTTTTCTGTAGAACCATCTCTGCCAAGTTGTGAAACTTGTTGGTTCGGCTCTAAATCAAGGTCTGGGATATGTGAGCAGAAGTCGAGGGGTAGGAATCGGGGAAGCGGTGGGAGACAAATTATATATATATAATTTTATATACACATATATATATATATAGGTGCTTGATGAGTGAAGTGCCTATATATATATACACACATATACTTCTAGATAGGTACTTGATAGGTTAATCCAACACACATCTTTACCATCACAGCATTTTGGCATCCAGAGACTGGTCGAACAAACCTGATGATGTGAAGATGCTGCCTTGCATCTCGTGTGCATTGGCACAGAAGCCAGACTCGAAGCCCATCCTCTCCCACTTCCCAAAAGGGTTAACAAAGTATCTGATTTAACAAAACCAGGAGTCTTGAAACAATTAAAGGATGTTCGACAAGGCAAAATTTTTTTGTTTTGTTTTGTTTCATTCTGAAAAAAATATAATATATAAAAGTGGCCAACCTCAGGAAGATCCAGGCAAAGGACAGCTGAAGAGGTTTTGGTCCATAAAGAAATACTTTGTTCTTCTTTTTTTTGCCCCCCTCCCCCACTCGGTTTTGGGTAACAAAAACTTTTGGTCCAGTTTAAAAACAACAAAACGATACCTAGAAACGCGGGGTCATGGGGGGTGGGTTGGTTGGGGGTTTTTTTTGCTCTCTGTTGGGACGCGCGTTGGTTTCGCGTCGGGCTCGTGGCCTGTATTGCATGATCAACTCTCTTAGGTTTCGGTGCGATCGACAGATCGTTGTTGGAAGGAAAGAAAAAGCACAATGTGACGTCTTGTCTGCGTGTCTGAGCACGTGTGGGGTGTGTGTGGCTGCTGCTGGCATCGCTGGGCAAAAAAAAAAGGATGAAGAGTGAACTCCGGAAACGCGGAAGTCGATCGGCTCCCCCCATGGATGGGAACTCAGGACTGATTGGAAATACCCTGTTAGTGACTCCTGATTCGTCTGATGAACAAATCCCTGCTCGGATAAGGAAAAAAAAAAGAACCAAGTTCCAGACTCCACGGTGGCTCAGAATAATAAAATAAAGGCTCATCGCCGGGTGGGATTCCAGCAGGTTCTTCCAAACCTTCTTCAGTTTCACCGGCGTCATTTTTATTTCTTCATCTTTTTTTTTTTTATTATTTTCTTCTGCATTTTCTTTTTATTTTTGTGTGTGTGTGTGATTTTTTTTTGTTTGTTTTGTTTGGCTTTTCTTAGAAAAAAAGGAAAACAATAAAAGTTCTTTAGCTGCTGTGTTGTTTTTTTTTTGTTTGTTTGTTTTTTTATTATTATTTGTTTAAATCTTTGAGGTAATACAGTTGTGCCCTCGTTCTAACAGGTTCCCAGAGGTTGATGGTTTCTTTCTTGTTTCTCTAAATCCCCGACATCCGTTTTCCTTCCTTTCTATTTGTTTCCTTCTGAGCTCCCAGTTGGGCTGACATCCCTGGGGGGGGGAGGAGGAGAGTAGGGGCTTCAGACCAAGGTGAAGACTGAACGTGGCTGGAGAAGAAAGGCTGGCAGGGCCCTCCCCACGTCCCTGCTCCCTTCCCTGTCCGATCCAGATGTTCTGGCTTGGTCGATGTGGAGAAGTCCCGACTTCCACCACCAAAATAAACTGAACTAAACCACTTTGCTTGCGAGATCTGAGTGTGCGTTCAGAGAACTTGTTCTAAGAAAGACATTGCAGGCTGGAGCATCGTTCGCCCTTCCAAAATTTCTGGCTTTGCTATTCATTTTAATTTTATTATTCACTTCTTTTTTTTGTTTTGTTTTTTTAAAAAATAACATACATTGCTTGTAAAATAATTTTTTTTTTCTTTTCTTTTCTTCTTCTTCTTCTTTAAATTAATGTATTCTTTCATTCGTTTGTTCTTCGGATGTCATTATTATTATTATTATTATCATCATTTTTCTTTCCTGGAACACCCCCCCACCCACCCAAGCTCCCTTCCTACCCCCAACCCCCCCACCCCAATGCCCTGCTCTGTCTCTTTAGGAAAATATTCTAATGGCCTGAGTGGCTGCAGGGGGGCAAACCGGGCACTCGGGATCAGTCCTCTCACAGATCCTCACGGCACATTCCATGCAGAAGAGGTTGTGGCCAAAAGGCAGCCGAGCTGCCGTAACTTCACTTTCAAAACACACCATGCACTCGCGGCTGCTGGAGACAGACGTCCGGGCAGCGGTGGTGCTCCCCAGCTTGGAAAACCCTTGGAGCGGTTCCCCCTGCGACCTCCTCGGGAGACCAGAGAGATTGGGCTCCTGGATGGAGGAGGACGGGGAGCGATGGGAATTCGGGTGGATGGCGCCGGTGCTGCTGGACCGTTGCTGCTTCGAGAAGAGCACCGAGACAGGGTTGGTGTTCTCCTGCCCAGCCCACATCGGGGCACCCGACTCCGGCACCCCGTAATACAGATCTTGCTTGTTCACACCATAGTTGGGGAAGAGGTAACCATAATTGAAGTCGTTTTGGTCATTCAGGCGGGGGGTCTCGTAGACGGGGTCGACGGAGCAGTCCCCGATGCAGCCCAGGCTGTTCTGTCGGAAGGTGGAGAGGGGCTTGCAGCCCGGCGCCGGCGTGTGGACCCGCCAGGCCTCCGAGTAGCGGTTCTCCATGCCGGAGTCAGGGCTGCTGGAGAGGAAGTCGTTCTCATTGTTGTACTCCAGGATCTTGCCCGTCCTCACCGCTATGTGGGTCTCGATCTCCTCCCGGGCGCGTTCGACATTGCCCGGCGCTCCGGTGATTTCGAAGACGGGGTCGCGGTCCCGGCTGGGCGTGATGATGTAGGTATTGGTTTGCTGCTGGATCCGCTTGATGGTGGCTCCTTTGGGCCCCACCACCAAGCCCACCACGCGGTAGGGCACGCGCACCCGGATGGTGACTTGCCCCGGCAAGGTGGGAGCGCTGCCGAAAGTGGTGCCCGCCTTGTTGCGGGAGGCCCTGATCATGGAGAAGTGCTCGGCGGCGGAGATGATCTCCCGCCGGGCCATGGCCACGTCCTCCCGCCGCCCCGTCACCATGAAGACCGGCTCCTCGCCCCGCACTGGTGTCTTGATGTACGTGTTGGTCTTTGCCCGCAGGGCTTTGATCTTGCAGCCTTGGGGAAGAGAGAGAAAACAAGGCAGGGAGGTTAGAGGGGCCGCCCTGCCATGTTGTTCAGCAGCCCCTACCCCGGGAGCTAAAACAAGGGAAAGGCTCTTTCACCCTTAACCCTGAGAGGAAAAAAAGTCGGAAGAAACCTTCCCCCTCACCATCCCCTCACCTTCCTCCCTCAGAAGTGCCCCCTTCCCTCACCCCCAGGCAGCTGTCACCATTTTATGTGCTGCCCCCACCACACAAGCCCCTTCAGCTGCCTCCCCTCAGCAATCACCCCTCAGATCCCCCCTTCTCACACCCCCGAGCACCAAGATGCCCTCGGTGGGTGGGTTGAAGCCCCGGCCATGGGTTGGCAGTGCCTGTGAGGAGCCTGTCCCTGCAGAGGCCCAGGCCCCACCATGTTGCCCCTCAGGAAAGATGGACACCCTGACTCTACTCTTGTCAGCAGCTCTTGGGACAGGGATGATTCCGCTGACACACGGGGCCATGAGACAGGCTGGAGACAACAGGAGGAAGCAGAAGGATAGCAACTCCATGGCTGGGCATGGCCCCTTCACCACCAGCTCATGGGGAGCAGCAGGGGAGACACGTCTGCCACAGCTCAAGAGAGCAGAGCCCTCCACGGGGACTTCTGTCCAGCTGTGGAGGTTTTGGGGTGAATCTGGTGTGACCTGGGTCACTTTTGAAGATTAGAGAAGGGAGATTCAGGAAAAAGTTCTTTCCTGTGAGGGTGGGGAGCGCCTGGGCCAGGTTGCCCAGGGAAGCTGTGGCTGCCCCATCCCTGGGGGTGTTGAAGGGCAGGTTGGATGGGGCTTGGAGCAGCCTGGGCTGGTGGGAGGTGTCCCTGCCCATGCAGGGGGTGGGATCTAAATGACCTTGAAGGTCCCTCCCAACCCAAACCATTCCATGATTCTATGACAAGTCTAGGGGAGGTAACAGAGATGCAGCAATTTGGGCTCCCCACCTCAGAGAGGATGGGACCCCAAACGTTGGTACTGCTAGAAAGCCGGGGGGTAGCAGGATGTCGGCGTTTCCTTTGGGGTCAAACCAGCCAGAAATGGGACAGGCTGCCAGCCCCACCGCAGGCCCTTCTGGTGCTCACCAGGAGCTGCAGCCAAGGCCTGGCAGAGGCTGCCCACAGAGACCATTCTGCCTTGGGCCCAGAGTCTCCATCTTGTGTATCAAACACCAGTGGCCACCGGCCTCCCCACCCCAGCGCTCCTGCTGCCCGGACCCTTTCCTGAGCTCACCTGCCACAGCTTTTGTCCATCACTGCCCACCCGACTGGAGCCCACCAAGCCTATTGCCCCTGCTCCTCACACCTCTTTCTGCTTTTTCTAAAAAGGCAAGAGACTTTTCAACGTGTTTTGGCTTCCAAATCGTTTTCTAGAGGGGTTTAGAGCCAGCTGTGGGACTCTAGGTTCCTAGATGACATTAAGATGCCACCAAGCAACTAAACATTTTTTGCAACTGTGGCAGAGTTTTCTCAACTCCTTCTGGAAACACTCTGTTACTGTCCTTCTGACCCCTCTTCTCCAAGAGCTTCACTTGGTGCCTAAAGGCATTTTCAAAGCCTGGCACCAAGTCCCCATGCAGACTGGGGCTTCCTCTGGGGGAGGTTTGCTCTAAGCTTGGGTGTCTAGGAAAAATTAAAACAACGTGATTCTCTAGGGCACCACGTTTCTACTGGTGCAGATGGAGCAAGAATTTTGTCCTGCTTTCCCAAGGGTTCAGGTCTCTGATTCAAGGCTCATGGAAGAAGAAATGGCATTGAAACCCCTGTGAGATCCCCCATCTCCTCCCCACCTTGTCTCCCCAGAAGAAGCCCATCTTTTGCCCTCTCCTCTGACCATCTGACACCAGCAAGTTCTCCTCAACACACGACGCTGACATTATGTTTTAACACAAGATGATCTGCAAATGATGCTTCTGCAACCAAGAAATCAAGATTCCTCAGCTCCTGCCCCAGAACATGATTATTTATACAGATCCTAATAAATAACAATGTCTCTCCCAGCTGGGAGTTCAGGGCTGCCACTCACTTCTCCGCAGCTCATCTCCTGAGACGTGGGCTTGTGACATCAGGATATTTAGGGGAAAGCACCGATTCCACCACCAGGTATCATTAGCAAGGACCAAACCCAGCACCTCTGGTGACAAAACCAGAGCCTTGTGCCACCACAGCTGGCAAGAGCAAGTCCCCAGGCGCCACAGACCAGCGGTGAGAGCTGCACAAACCCGCCCAGCTCCGCGGGTCACGCTCACATCTCGCGGCATCGCGTGGGCACCAGGGAGCAGCCTCCTCAAACTCCAGGAGGCTGCACCAATCTGAAACCTCCTGGCAGAGCCTCCAAACCCCACAGCCTGTCAGAAGGTCTTGGCAGCAGTGGAGGACACGTGCTGGTAAATCCTGACTTTGCTGTCGACACCCAGTGTGACTTTTCCCTCCTCAGAGCTGCTCCAGCTCTCCGAGCCTCAGCCTCCCATCTGGGGAAGGGGATGAACTGCTGCTTCTTGCTTTGTGTCACTGCAAAACTTCCTGCAATGCTCAGCATTAAACCCACCTCTCAACCACTAATTTTACATTCCCGGGGAATGGAAATGCTAGACCTGACCCAGAGAAGGAGCTGGGCAAAGCCCCAAAACCCAAACCAAGCCCAACCCGCTGCCAAACCCAATGGAGCTCACGTGTCACTCCCCACTGAGTTTGCACCCTGAAGGGTATTTGCGGTGCTTCCTTTGCTGAAGTTTCTCAACAGTCGATGTGGACTGATGGTCATCAACAGTCCTGTCTTATTAGTACCCTGGAAACTCCAAGGAATGGCACTTCCCCGTGCGAGGCACGACACAACCCTGGAATCAAACCAGGGGGAGAAAATGACAGATAAAGGCTCCTAAGGAGCCTGTGGAAGGTGGGATAAAACCACACGGGGTCACCTCTGTCCCCCTGCATCCCCAGGGCAGGGTGTGCTCTCCCTGGCCCACCCCTACGCCGCTCGCTCCAAAGATGGAGATTCCATCTTAGGAAGATTAACCGAGATGCCACCATTTCCCCAGGGATATCACCGGAGCGTCGCGCGGAAGGGAAGGGGGTGTTGGCGCCAGCGCCTGCGCTGGAAACGACCCCCCTGCATCCCCCCCGAGGGAAGCAGCCTGTGCCTGATGCCTCAGTGACCCACGGCCGGGCCTCCCAGGAGCACCAGGCTGGCTCTGGTTTGCAAACGGAGCCCAGGTAGGGGTTTGTCAGGGCTGGGCTTGCGTTCCGGCAGCTTTCTAAGCCTCGGGACAATGACTGCGTGTGAGGGGAGAGGGATCTGAGCCCAGCGTGACAGGAAACAATCAAGGAGGGGACACGGAGGGTCAGGCAAGCAGAGCGGTGACAAAGGACAGGGGCTCCATGCTGGGGACAGATGGAAGGGAACGGTGGCAAGGAATACACACGAATGAGGGCAAACGTAAGCGAGTTCCATGAGCTGGAGAGGGTGGGAGGGAGGCAGGGATGGAGAAAAGGTGATGGAAATTAAGGGAGAGGCACGTTGTGCTCCCTCCAAGGAGAGGAGGAGGAGCAGGGGTGTGGAGGCAAGGGAGAGACACCCCAAAACGGCAGAAGGGAGACGGGCAAGGAGAGAGCCCGGCGAGAGGGGGAGGGAGGATCGAGAAACGGACAAAAGGACGCGTGGTGCAGTCGATGGTGTGAGAAGCAGGGGGAGGAGAAGGAGGGAGGGTCTCCGTGCAGGCCTGCAGACAGGAAAGCCAGCTTTGCACAGACAGACAGATGGGGGATCCTGCGCTTAAAAACCAGAGAAAATAACCCCACAGGAAATTAGACCAACTCCATCCAGCCCAGCAGCCCAGCAGGTTCAGTGGCCCAGATCTCTGGCAGATCTAAATTGGTGCAGACACCAGGCCAAGCCATCAGCAGTATAAATCCAGATAACTCCACCAACTTCCAAGGGAGCTGCAATGATTTGCATCAGCTAAAATCAGGCTGGGCTTAAATCTGATTTACCCACTTAGTGCCAAGGCTCCCAGCCCATCTCAACCCCAACCTTGACCTTGCTTTCCACAACTAAACAGGGGCTGAGCCTTCTGTGACATCATTCTGCTCCTGACAGAGCACAGCCAGGTCAGGATGTGGCCCTTTATATCCAAGGCCAGATGAAGAGCAAGGTCCCATGTGCTTTTTTCAAATGAAATTTGTCCCCTTTTTTCTTTTTTTTTTTTAATGAAAGGCTTTCCTCGTGTGTCACTGAAATTTGAAAACAATACCCAACAAACTGCTTCACCCAGTGGATCATTAACAGGGCAGAGATTTGCGAAGCAGGTGGCGTTAAGGATGCAAAACCACAAGGAGAAAAGGACCTGTAGAAACTCTAATAACATATAACTTCGTTGTAGTGTTCTACTCTTCAAGGCAGTGTGCAGACATCAGCTAATTGATCCCTGGCAGACTCCTGCCAGTTAGATTTTTATATTAGAGAGAGAATTAAGCTTTTTCTTCTTGTGTTTCCACTACCTAGCTCCTGTTATCCTGGGCTTTTTTGCCAATAACACAGATCCCAAAGCATTTTGCAAAGGAGACTTGTACGATTATTTCCTCCCCCCACACCTCTTTTCCTTTTTAACTTCAGTTAACTGATTGCCAATTGACTCAAAGTAAATGTGTTTTGCAAATTACCCTCGTAAGCCACAAATGTTAACACACAGGAACAAACCCTGGAGGACTGTTGAGCCTCCGGCACCCAGACCAGTTGTCTAACTGGAATTAATCCACGGAGCAGCTAGCTCTGGCTAGAAACAAATACATAAATCGAGTCTAGACACTGCCAAACTGGGGAAGGGTGTGATGGGGAGGGGGGATCAGGGATGTGGATGCACAGCCACATTCTCTTCTCTGCTTACCCCTGCACGAGGGGTAAATAAACCCATCAAGATAGCGGAAAAAGCTTCAAGAGCTTGGACAACCTGCCCAGCAAAGGCCCAAAGGGCAACAAGGGTGAAGGATACATCTGATCTGACTGCTGCATGAACCCATCCCAAATCTTTTCCCATTCAGACTGGAGTGAAAAAAAACCCAAGGTGTTTCCAATGGGACCTCCCTGAGGTTTGCACCCGAGCAGCAGGAAAAGGCCGGAGCAGCGCGCGGGACGGACGTGCCCACGGCAGCACGTGGGGTGTGAATGCCAGCAGAAGGACAGTGCCATGGAAAACACAGCCAGGGATGGGCCACTCCAGTGTAAATTCAGAGTGAAAACTCACTGTCAACCTGCATGGCCAGATCCTGCCCAGGTACATCCTGGCGCAGCCCAGAGGGTCCTACTGGCACCAACAGGCACATCTCCGGTTCATGCCCAGACCCATGGGCTTCACCTGGAAGCACCAGAGCTGCTGCACCACCTCACAGCAGAGGATCCAGCCCTGAGGTGGTTTCTTTTATTTTGGTTGGGCTTTTTTGTGTTTTGTTTGGTGTTATTTTAAAAAAAAAACAACACACCACACAAATCACTCCAGGTCCTTACATTTCTTGTTTTCATCAGATCCACAATTACCTCTACAGACAAAAGATTTTTAGCCCTGTTCTCATTTACACTGAGGCACCTTTACACTGTGATGGTGTAAATTACACCTGTAAATACCCCACTTAAAGACATTCTGACATTGCTGGTGTGGTACAAGAGAACCTCAGGGCAAATTAGGACTTGGGTCTTTTTTCTGTTATAGTCATAAAATTAAAGAGGACCATAAAAATAAACAACCCTCAAATATCTCAGCTAAGGTGGGGCACCTTCTTTCCCATTTAAGATGAAAGCCACGTTTAAAGAAAAGCACACAAAGAACATCCCCAATAAACCCTCCTGAATATCTGGGGGGTGAGATTTTTGCTGCATTGAACATCTGATGAAAGTGGCGTCAAAAAAACCACACACAAACGCACACAAAAAAGGACCAGAACCAACCAACTAAACCCCTTTGCACTGAGGTTTTCTTTGTACTGATGATGCAAGTTGTGTTTACAAGAAGGGGGGGAGGAAAAGAAACCCCCAAAATCCAACACACCATCACACCAGGAAGAGGAGCAACCACCTCGTTTCAGCGCGGCGGTTTTCCAGCTTTTTGTTCCCGTAGCGATGAAAGTTGTTTACGAATATAAATCAAAATAAATAAGAAGGGAAAAGAGGGGGGTGGGGGGGGAAATAAAATCAAGGCAACACAAAAGCGCGGCGGTTTTCCAGCTTTTTGTTCCCGTAGCGATGAAAGTTGTTTACGAATATAAATCAAAATAAATAAGAAGGGAAAAGAGGGGGGTGGGGGGGGAAATAAAATCAAGGCGACCCAAAAGCAAGAACCCAGGTTGCCTCAGACCATCGTTGCCTTCTTGTGTGGTGGAGGAAAGTTGGGAAGTCGGGCTGGAAGCCCCCGGCCACGAGCAGGCGCTCCCGGTTGTGCCACCACAGCTGGCAAGAGCAAGTCCCCAGGCGCCACAGACCAGCGGTGAGAGCTGCACAAACCCGTCCAGCTCCGCGGGTCACGCTCACATCTCGCGGCATCGCGTGGGCACCAGGGAGCAGCCTCCTCAAACTCCAGGAGGCTGCACCAACCTGAAACCTCCTGGCAGAGCCTCCAAACCCCACAGCCTGTCAGAAGGTCTTGGCAGCAGTGGAGGACACGTGCTGGTAAATCCTGACTTTGCTGTCGACACCCAGTGTGACTTTTCCCTCCTCAGAGCTGCTCCAGCTCTCCGAGCCTCAGCCTCCCATCTGGGGAAGGGGATGAACTGCTGCTTCTTGCTTTGTGTCACTGCAAAACTTCCTGCAATGCTCAGCATTAAACCCACCTCTCAACCACTAATTTTACATTCCCGGGGAATG